GATGCCTGGAAAATTATACAGTCCCCAGACCTGGTGTAGTGATAAACCACTAATGGGAGCTCGTGTCCCTTAATTAACGAGGAGGATCATAACATTATTCCTCAATGTTTGGCTGCTCAACAGCCTTGTAAATTGGTCTGTTAAACACAGGGCACCTTTACGCTGCAAATGTACATGTGGTTTACAACGGGAAGTGCAGATGGGTTGGTTCTTATGGTGGGAAGGGTCACAATTCCCTAGAGAGAGCTTGGTTTTCAGGGATTTTTGGGAGCATTCTTTCCTGATGTTTCACCCACACCAACAGATATGTAAACCTTACTTCTTGTTGATTTTTGATTGTAGTGTTTTCTTTTATTAATTCTGTATTTTCTTGTTTTAATTTCTCTACTTCATCTCTTACTACGTTCATTTCTTCTTTGAGTATCCAATTGTATCTTTTTTCATTATTCCATTACTTTTTTAATAATATTGTTTTATGCATCTTGATTATCTTGTATCGTTTTGACTTCTGATTGTAATTTCAGTATCTCTCTCATAACATCTTTGATAGTAGGTTCTTCAGGTAAAGAGCCCTTTCTAGCACTCAGTTGGCCCTTTTTTCAAATTCTTTTTCCTTTTCTTTATCTCTATCTAACTTTCCCTTCTGTGAAGTTACCGTAATTAAATGTCTTTCAAATATTTCTTTGAATAGACTCTTCAAGTTTTGTTTTGTTGTTGTGTAATAATTGACAGTAATAACTTAACTTGTGGCTTTGGGTTTGTAGTCTTTCCCTCTTTATTGCTGGTTAGCGAGTAGCACGAAAGGCTTTTGTCAGCTTCTTAAGGATAAATATTGTCTTTCCCCATGGTGTCACTACCACTTCTCCTTCTCTTCTTCCTTTTTTATTCTCTTCTGTTATTACTCAGTCTTTCTTACTCTTCCTCCAACATTTCCTTTTCACCCTTTCTTTCTCTCTCACACACACCCTTTCACCCTTGCATTCACTCCCTTTTCATCCTTGCGATCACTTTCTTTTCGCTCACTACACACTCTACGCACTTTCTCCTCTCCTCGCTTTCCTCCCTTTCCTCACACTCTCACACTCCCACTCTCACTCTTTTACTCCTTTCTTCTTCTTGCTCTCCCTTCAATCTTCACCTTTACGCTGCAAATGTACATGTGGTTTACAACGAGAAGTGCAGATGGGTTGGTTGTTATGGTGGGAAGGGTCACAAATCCCTAGAGAGAGCTTGGTTTTCAGGGATTTTTGGGAGGTTTGTCTTCACAGTGTAATTTTCTTACAGAGTTTTTACCACCTGAGAAAAGCAGTGAAAGGCTGGGCTATTAACAGTTGTTGGCTCTGGGTTTTAGAAATCTTTTTATGGTGCTGAATCTATCCCCAAAATAAGGTCAACAGAAACTGATTGAAAGTGTCAACCAAAAGCCAGAGCAATTTCAGGACTCGAATAATACATCAGCTGGGTTGCTGTGAGTTTTCTAGGCTGTTTGGCCATGTTCCAGAAGGATTCTCTCCTGATGTTTGTTTGTCGTGTCAGGAGCGACTGCTCCTGTTGTGAGAGAATTGGCCGTCTGCAAGGACGTTGCCCAGGGGACGCCCGGATGATTTGATGTTTTATCATCCTTGTGGGAGGCTTCTCTCATGTCCCCGCATGAGGAGCTGGAGCTGATAGAGGGAGCTCATCCGCCTCTCCCCGGATTTGAACCTGCGACCTGTTGGTCTTCAGTCCTGTCGGCACAGGGCTTTAACCCACTGTGCCACCGGGGGCTCTCCTGATGTTTCGCCCAAAGGATATGTAAACCTCCATTGTCTAATATCCAGTATACCTCACAACCTCTGAGGATGCCTGCCATAAATGTGGATGAAACATCAGGAGAGAATGCTTCTGGAACATGGCCAGACAGCCTGGAAAATTCTCAGCAACTCAGTGAATCCAGCCATGAAAGCCTTTGCTGATACGTCAACTACTGGCCATCAGTGGGTTAGGACAGCTTATAGATTTCAGATTTGGTGTAGTTATCTTTGTCATCATTACTACCATCTTCAGTTATGTTTTTTTTATTAATTTATATCTCATATTTTCCCACAAATACCTTTCAGTCACCTGTTGACTCATGGCTACATTGTGCATTTCCTAGGTTCTTCAGGAAGGAATAAACTGAGAGTAATTTTGCCAGTTTCTTCCTCTGAAATAGAACTCAAAGCCCTGAATTTCATTGGCAGTCCTTCTGGTCTTGGAGATGGTTCTTCTTTTGGGACTACCACTCCCGGAATCCTCCAGTCAGTTGATTGGGGGATTCTGAAATGACCATCCACAAGAAAAATTGCAGAAAAAATGGAAAAATGTGAATAACTTACTGTTTTTTACCTGACTCTGTGGTCAGTATCTGCTGGAAGTTGACCATAGGCTCACATTGGAAGGCCTACGGATATTAAGTCAAATCCACAAGTAATCAAATCTTCAAGTTAAACCTGCAAATGTAGTGTTGATAATACCGAGTAGGCAATGAAAACAGTCCATTTTCTGAAAGTGTCTCAGTTTTCAGCCTTCCTTCTGTTGCTCATGGAATGTTTATTAATTTAACCAGGGCCATATGAACCCAGATTCTCCCCACTCCCAGATTTTCCTCCCGTTTCCATACACATGCCATCTTGCATTTTGGTTGTCATTAGCAAAGCAGTAATCGATTCCATATCTTAAAGCTCTTCTCTTTCCATAAACTAGTAACGTAATCATTGGTCCAGTGCCAAAGGTTAACGCATAACTTCTTCAATAATTTCAAGAATGTCTTAGACTCCTACGCATACATATGTATATATACATTGGCTTGAGCCCATGGCTGGTGATTTATGTGATTATTTTGCAAGTGACATGTTTGCGAACATCTGGGGTGCATCATTTCTAATTTCACTACAATTGAGCAGGGCTAGTATAGAGTCTAGGGTTGAAGTTCTATATGTACTGATTTAGGGATAATTCTCACTGAATCCTTCTTCTTAGTACAAACCTAAACTTGCATTTTTACCCCATAGATACTTGTTCAGTTTCAGTCTTTTTCCGTCTCATACACACAACTCCAAACTAATACCTTCTAGCTATCTATTGTATCTAGATATATTTCAGATAAAAATTTATTCTTGCTTTCAATTTCAACAGAAAGGAAGAGACCATGAAAATGAACAAAATCTGGCTACCAGTATTAAAAAAAAACTCTAAAATTACAATAGCAAAACAGCAGAGAGGAAACAACCAGGCACATCTTAACACCTCTCAACAAAAGATTTTCCCAGGCTCAGCCAGGCCTTCAAATGCTAATGAAGGTGGTCAGTTGAAACATTCACACCTAGCTCCAGCAGGGAAGAGCTCCTTGCCCCACCCCAGCCATTCCACAGATATATAAACCCATTGTCCTAATTCCAACAGACCTCACTACCTCTGAGGATGCTTGCCATAGATGCAGGCGAAACGTCAGGAGAAATGCCTCTAGAACATGGCCCTATAGCCCGAAAAAACCCACAAGAACCTCATAATATTGTGCCTTTTTATCTTTTCTTATACAGTTTAGTCCAGTCCTTCTTAAAGTTGTTTTGAGGGTTTTGTGTTGACTAACTATCCAACAATAGATTCAGCAGATCAACTGGAATATATACATATGTGATCCTATGTTTCTAAGTCCATAGTTCATTATAAATTCCTACATAAAGATATCGCTTATAAACATTGGTCCTATATTTAAAATTCAAAACCTCTTCTTTTTTCTTTTCTAATTGAATTTCCCTTGATTGGGCTTTTGGATATTTTCATTTTCTGAAAATATTTCTTCTCCTGTTTCTCCCTCTGTCTTTTTGAATATCTATCTATTGCTAGAGAAACACCAAACAATAGGTTTTTCTCTAAACCAGTCAAAATATGTTCTGTGACTTTTGATATTCTCCATGTTCCTAGATGTTCCCATAACTAACCATAGACACCACATTAGGATGATGGTGGAATATATATACAATCAAAACTAATTCCTTTGATCTCTGATTGTTTTTAAATTGTTTTAAATTGTTTTTAAATTGTGTTCGATTTTAGCCTGTTCTTGTAAGCCGCTCCGAGCCCCAGGGGAGTTGCGGCATATAAGTTCAAATAATAAATAAATTCTAAAACGACTCCGGCCCAGTTTACCTGTCCGAACGGATTCTCCCCTATGAACCCTCAAGGTTATTAAGATCTTCTGGGAGGGGCCCTGCTCTCAGTCCCACCACCTCGCAATCACGGTTGGTGGGGACGAGGGACAGGGCCTTCTTGGTGGTGGCTCCCCAGCTTTGGAACTCCCTCCCACTAGAGATTAGATCTGCTCCCTCCCTCCTGACTTTCAGGAAACTACTAACGACCTGGCTCTGGAATGTGGCATTCGAGGACTGAATCTATAACCTCCGTCCACAAGGAAGGAGCATGATGAACTGTGACTATGACTATGACTATGACTGGGACTGTATTGACGACTTGGCTTGGGTAATTGTGATGATGATGTTTTTATTGTACTTTATTGTACTATTTTAATCTGTAATGATGTTGCACTCTGTTGTACTTATATATTATTGTATTTGCATATATGTTGTAAACCGACCTGAGTCCCTCGTTGAGGTGAGAAGGCCGGTATAGAAAACTTCCAAATAAATAAAATAAATAAATAAATAAATAGGAAAAGCAGTTTTTATAATACAGTAAAACTGTGGTACACTAAGTTTGTCTTTTTTTGGTTTTAATTACTGTGTTTCAATATTAATACCAAGTCAGTTCAGAATTTACGGTATGATGTATGAGGTATAGTATTGCTATAGTTAGGTATGTTTTTAATAGTAACACTTTAAGCAATCAGAATCGTCATTTATCCTGTGTCTAACAATCCACATGTAAAATCGAAATAGTAGATGATGGTCAAGTCAACCATCCAATCTTTGTGTTGTGTCACCTTCCATTTCATCGGATGCCTTTGTTTCTCTTCCTCCTAGTCTGCTGGAAACCATGTTTCACTACACCGACGAGCCCAGATTCACCATAGAGCAGATAGACCTGCTTCAACGCCTGAGGCGCACCGGGATGACGCGGCACGAGATCCTCCACGCCTTGGAGACCTTTGATCGCCTCGACCAGGAGCACAGCGACAAGTTTGGGCGGCGGTCCACCTACGGGGGCGGGGCCGGATCCTGCAGCAACAGCACCAACAACGTCCCGGCGTCTTCCTCCACGGCCACAGCTTCCACGCAGACCCAGCACTCTGGGATGTCCCCTTCACCGAGCAACAGCTACGACACCTCCCCGCAGCCTTGCACGACCAATCAGAACGGGAGGGAGAGTAGCGAGCGGTTGACAGCCTTCAACGGGAAGATGTCACCCACGCGCTACCCGTTGGCAAACAGCATGGCCCAACGGTCGTACAGCTTTGAGGCCTCCGAGGAGGACCTGGACGTCGATGACAAAGTGGAGGAGTTGATGAGGTGGGTCTGGCAGCATAGCCTTGAGTGGGCTTCCCCCTTATACTTATTTTTACTCTCCAAATTTGTGATATAGAAATTTGGGCATTGTTGAGATTTCCAGAGATAGCCAGAAGTTGTCGAATTAATGCAGTTTGGCACTTCTTTAACTGTCTGGGATTTGTAGTTTGGTGAAGCATTAGCTCACTTGCAGGGGAAGTCTGAACACCTGGGTTGTTGTAGGTTTTTCCGGGCTATATCGCCATGTTCTAGAGACATTTTTTCCTGACGTTTCGCCTGCATCTATGGCAAGCATCCTCAGAGGTAGTGAGGTCTGTTGGAAGTAGGGAAAATGGGTTTATATATCTGTGGAATGACCAGGGTGGGGCAAAGGACTCTTGTCTGCTGGAGCTAGGTGTGAATGTTTCAACTGACCACCTTAATTAGCATTTGATGGCTTGGCAGTGCCTGGGGGATTCTTTTGTTGAGAGGTGATTAGATGTGCCTGATTCTTTCCTCTCTGTTGTTTTGCTGTTGCAATTTTAGAGTCTGAACACCATTTAAAATGATAGCTCCTATGGCTTTGTAGCATTGAGCCATGGTATAACATTACATTAATTATACAATGTAGATAATAATAGTAATAATATTACTTTATTTATACCCCGCTACCATCTCCCCAAGTGGACTCGGAGCAGCTTACATGAGGCCAAGCCCAACAACACATCAATAAAATAAAAACAATAATCAAAAACAATACAATTAATATAACTCACATATAAACAGTAACACACAAGAATTTAAAAAAACTATGGCCGGGCCAAATGTAATAGTTTAAAATTTAAAGTTGGGCATGAACAGGGTTAAAGGTAAAGGTAGTCCCGACATTAAGTCCAGTCATGTCTGACTTTGGGGTGTGGTGCTCATCTCCATTTCTAAGCCGAAGAGCCAGCGTTGTCCGTAGACACCTCCAAGGTCATGTGGCCGGCATGACTGCATGGAGCGCTGTTACCTTCCCGCCGGAGCGGTACCTATTGATCTACTCACATTTGCATGTTTTTGAACTGCTAGGTTGGCAGAAGCTAGGGCTGACAGCGGAAGCTCACGCCGCTCCCCGGATTGAACCTGCGACCTTTCGATCAACAAGCTCAGCAGCTCAGTGCTTTAACCCACTGCGCCACTGGGGGCTAGGATGTATCTAATAGTAGGGTTCTAAAAGAAATGAAGGGAGAGCAACCCAATGAGTAGTTAAAGTGCTTCTGAGGACATTCTGCTTGGGATTATTTCCTTATTCAGGGAAGACACACTGGAACAGCCACGTTTTCAGGCTCCTCCTAAAGACCGCCAATGTGGGGGCCTGCCTGATATCCTTAGGAAGTGAGTCCCAGAGTCGGGGGGCCACCACAGAGAAGGCCCTCTCCCTCGTCCCCACCAATCGTGCCTGTGAAGGGGGCGGGAGCGTGAGCAGGGCCTCTCCAGATGATCGAAGAGACCGTGTGGGTTCGTACACAGAAATGTGGTCACGCAGGTATGCGGGTCCCAAACCATTCAGGGCTTTGTAGGTAAGAACTTGCACCTTGAATTGGGACCGGAAAATGAATGTCAGCGAATGGAGCTCCTTATACAGGGGGGGCTGTAAAGTAGCCTGGCCACCGCCCGTTGTACCAATTGAAATTTCTGGACCGTCTTCAAAGGCAGCCCCACGTAGAGTGAATTACAGTAATCCAATCTGGTGGTGACTAAGGCATGGACCACCCTGACCAGATCCAACTTCACGAGGTACACTCTCTCAGCCTAAGGGGAGAGTAATGCCTGACCTCTGAATAAATCTCTTTATCAACACAGTGTAGTCGTTTGAGAATTAGACTGGAACTCAAGGAGACTGAGGGTTGCACCTCTCCTCAGCCATGAAAACCTACTGGGTGACCTTGGGCAAGGCTCTCAGTCACTTAGAATCAAAGGGAATGGAAAACTTCCTCAGAATAAATGTGGCTGGGAGAAGGTTACCTTCAGTTAGAGTTGACCTTGAAGGCACAAAACAAACACAGCATCAACAAGGACAACTGCAAAATTTACCTAGCAACAGGCAAATGTGAAATAATTGGGCACAAAGAGGACTGCAACTTATTTAAAAGGATGAATGGCTGCTTCTTTGGGGTTTGAGGATGGGCAGCTCACCTCTTCTGCAGCATTCACAGGCCAGGAAAACAACCTTGGTGGGCCTGTTGTCCCACGGCAGCACTTCACCACGTCTGCACTCTAGGACCAGGCCCCCAAGGAGAACGTATGTGTCCTTCTCTCTGGCCAAAATACCAACATCCTGGCCTGAGATAACAAAAGCAGATGGATTCAGGAGTTGTTCTGCTAACGGGGAATTTGAAAACTTGAGCTCTTTGCCAAAGTGTCAGCAGCTAGAGCCGTTTCCAATTAAAGAGCAACACCCCTTGTCCTCAAACATCTGGCTGAGTGGGAATAATGGAAGAAATAGCAGGTGGGAGAGGGACCTGTTCTTTGGTATTTGCATGATTTAGGATTGAAGAAGAGAGCCAGTGTGATGTAGTGATTTGAATATTGGACTAAGACCCTGGAAATCAAGATTCAAATTCCTACTCAACCAGGGAAGCCCACTGGATGAACTTCAGCGAGTTACATCCTCTCAGCCTCAGAGGAAGGCAAAGGCAATGCCCCTCTGAACAAAAATTTGCCAAGAAGACCTTAGGCCAGTGGTCTTCAACCTGTGTGTCCCCAGGTGTTTTGGCTTTCACCTCCCAGAAATCCTTACAGCTGGTAAACTGGCTGGAATTTCTGGGAGTTGTAGGCCAAAACACCTGGGGACCCACAGGTTGAGAACCACTGCCTTAGGGTGACCGTACATCATCAGAAATGACGTGAAAGTACACAGCAACAACAAGAAGGTTCAAAGAAAGCTATCAGGAGGAGAATTCGCTTCATTTTTTATTGAATCAGGAGCTAGCCACCCACAGGTTTCCATTCTTAGATGGCCGTTGAATGGAGGATGGCATATGTCAGAGGCTTTCATGGCTGGAATCACTGAGTTGCGGTGTATGTTCCAGAAGCATTCTGTCCTGATAATTCCCCCACATCTGTGGCAGGCATCCTCAGAGGTTTAAGGGTCTGTTGGAAAGTAGACAAGTGAGGTTTTTATATACCTGTAGAATGTCCAGGGTGGGAGAAAGAACTCTTGTCTGATTGAGGCAAGTGTGAATATTGCAATTGGTCAGCTTGATTAGTATTTAATGGCTTTGCAGCTTCAAAGCCTGGCTTGTTGCTGCCGGAGGGGATCCTTTGTTGGGAGGTTTATATATCTGTAGAATGTCCAGGATGGGAGAAAGAACTCTTGTCTGCTTGACTCACATGTGAATGTTGCAATTTGCCACCTTGATCCCCCCTTGGGGGGGGGAGAGGAAGGGGGGGGCATAAATATAGGTAATAAATAAATAAATTGATTAGCATTTAATGACCTTTCAGTTTCAAGGCCTGGCTCGTTTAATGGGAGGTGAGTAGCTGGCCCTGATTGTTTCATGTCAGGAATTCCTCTTTTTTTAGTGTTGTTCTTTACTTACTGTCCTGATTTTAGAGTTTTTTTAAATATTGGCAGGCAGAATTCCAGACAAGAATCAATTTATTTATGTATTTATTTAATTACCCCATTTATATACCGCTTTTCTCACCCCTAGGGGGACTCAAAGCGGTTTACACATAGAAAATGGCAAAAATTCAATGCCTTAAAACTACAATAGTAAAACCACACTTTACTATGGTTTACTATGGAATCAATGCTAATCAAGGTGGCAAACTGCAACATTCACATGTGCCTCAAGCAGACAAGAGTTCTTTTTCCTTCTGATGATGCCTGCCATAGATGTGGGTGAAACGTCAGGAAAGAATGCTTCTGGAACATGGCCATACAGCCCGAAAAACGCACAGCAACCCAAGGATGGCATAGCGTCTGGAGTGGCTAGCCTGTCGCCAAACAGCAGCAGGTGGTCTTCTTCATAACAGTAGGCAAGGTCACCTGCTCTACTGCCCGATCATGAGCCACCAAGGGTACCTGGTTTGATAGTGAGGGTCAAGGGTGCCTTGTTTTTCAACTTCCCTGACTGACCATGGAGTGAACTAGCCCCACCTTGCTTCTATACCACTGTGGGTCGATTTCCCTCTGAGCCTCAAGGTATCCGAATGTGTCTTGCCTTGCTGCTCATTTGGGCTGCATTCCCCTGTACGAGAGCCTCAGGTTGTTTTTGTTTTATGACCGAAGCTGCCAGGGCTGGTGATTTACCCCCCCCC